TCCAATGAGATTTTCTACCATAAGCGTTGACCAGTCATTTGCTTCTTCTATTGCGGTAACTTTCTTTTCCCATTATGGAGTGAGAGAACGAAGAATCTTTCACACCATTTCCACTTGAGTGAATTCTTTTCCAAGACCGATGAGAGAATTTGTGATTTTGGTGAATCTTGTAAACATCTCTCCAATGGTCTCGTTTTCCTTCATTCTGAATAATTCGAATTTATGTACAGGAACAGATATTTTAGATTCTCTAACCTTACTTGTAACTTTATGAGTTACCTCGAGTGTGTGCCAAATATCATATGCGTGTTTAGAACCCTAGAGGGGGGTGATTAGGTCTTATGCTAATCTAATTCCAATTAAAAGCTAATTAAAATTATGTTGATCAATTTGATCTGCAAGAAGAAAATACGATATGGATGATGAACAAAATGATGAATAAAATATACGCTAAAGCAAAACCAAACACACATATGTTTACGAGGTTCGGTCACCACGACCTACGCCCCGCTCCTGCACCTCGAGGAGATATCCACTATCACAATTCGGTTGGAAGCCGGAACTTCTACACACCGTTTACAAGGTCACCGAAAACTCTCACACTACACAAACACTATGCAATCACACTTTACACACTAAGTGTAGGAACCTACCTGTGTCCTCCTCCTCAAGTGCTCGATAAAACCTCTTCCTAGGTTCGTCAATCGACGCCACTCCTATTGGATTTGACCCGTGTCTCGCTCACACTTCTCTCAGTGTATAAGTGTATTACAAGTGATTCTCACAAATAAAAGTTAAATACAATGATTTGTTCTCAAATAACATGTGAGAACACAATGAAGCTCACACTACTAAATCACACCCCACAACCCACACTATATGGTATGAAAATATTAAGCCAATAAGTGTGTGTGATAACAGTTGAATCAAACTCAATAGATTTAGCTAAAAGAAGTGAAAATGAAATAATAAGCTATAAAAGAGTTTAGAAGACTTCTCAAACAAGAAGAACAGTAGAGATGATTCAATAGGATTGAATGCCTCTTCTTGTTGTAGAAAAAAACTCCTCTTGAAAACTGATTGATGAAATCAACTATTAAACAGCTCTAACAACAATCAATATTTTTAAACACCAAACTTGGATATCTTGGTTATTAAGAGGAAGAGCGCAATGGGATATATATATAGCACCCCAAAACAACAGTAAAAAATAGGTAATAAGACCAAAAACCCAGTTTGAAAACGTTAGAAAAACTAGCCGTTAGAAAGGTTCTGACAGCTCGTCGGTCGACCGGTTCGGTCGAGCCGCTAAGTCAAAACTCAGAAGAATGAGGGTTAAAGCTGGCGGTCGACCGACGCGATATTTTCGGTCGACCGGAATTCTCTTCGGTCGACCGCGTGCGGTCGACCACCAGTTACAAGGTCCGCGAAACACTCATCACACATAACCAAACACTATGCAAATCACACTTTACACACTAAGTGTAGGAACTACCTCTGGTCCTCCTCCTCAAGTGCTCGATAAAACTCTTCCTAGTTCGTCAATCGAGCGCACTCCTATTGGATTTGACCGTGTCTCGCTCACACTTCTCTCATGTTATAAGTGTATTACAAGTGATTCTCACAAATAAAAGTTAAAATACAATGATTTTTTCTCAAATAACATGTAGAAAACAATGAACTCACACTACTAAATCACAGCACCCCACAACCCACACTATATTGGTATGAAAATATTAGCTCAATAAGTGTGTGTGATAACAGTGAATCAAACTCAATAGAATTTAGCTAAAAGAAGTGAAAAATAATATAAGCTATAAAAGAGTTTAGAAGACTCTCAAACAAAGAGAACAGTAGAGATGATTCCAATAGGATTTGAATGCCTACTTCTTGTTGTAGAAAAAAACTCCTCTTGAAAACTGATTGATGAAATCACTATTAAACAGCTCTAAAACCAATCAATATTTTTAAACACCAAACTTGGATATCTTGGTTATTAAGAGAAGAGGCAATGGGATAAATATATAGACACCAAAACAACAGTAAAAAATAGGTAAAAGACAAAAACCCAGTTTGAAAACGTTAGAAAAACTAGCCGTTAGAAAGGTTTCTGACAGCTCGTCGGTCGACCGGTTCGGTCGACCCGCAAAGTCAAAACTCAGAAGAATGAGGGTTAAAGCTGGCGGTCGACCGAGCGGATTTTTCGGTCGACCGGAATTTTCTCGGTCGACCGGTGCGGTCGACGTAAGTATGAGCTCAGAAACAACTGTTATTCGACCGTACCGGTCGACCGAAAACTGATATGCTGCATTGACAGGTTTTAGGGGTGTTTTGAAAATACATTAAAAATACAAATCAACACCAAAAATAGTGAAAGCTTTGGGAAAGTTTCTAAATGATAAAATAAACAGTTTAAAGGAATTTTTTGGAAATCAATTTTCATTTGTGAAAACTCCCTGTTTTGAAAAGTTTAGCAGAAACCTGTTTTTCGTGAACAATGAAAATTGACTCTAGATTCTTAGTAATACATGTATATATATATTGTGCATATATTATATGTATATAATGAAGTATGAAAGAGCTGTAAACATGAGATAAAAATTATTGAAACAAGTTGATGATGAAAATATCATTATTAATTGGATAGAAACGTCAAAAATCGTGTTAATGAACATATATTGAGCTTAGTTTTAATCATACATAATGTAAGTAAACTAAACATTACCTAGGTAAATCACACAAATGAACTTGAATCTTTAACGATTGATTGACGAGTGTGTTGAACTACCTGAAAAAAGAACATAAACACAAAACACTAGAGAACTTATTAAAATAAATGGTTCTCACCAGTTACAAGGTCACCGAAACATCATCACTACTACCAAACACTATGCAAATCACACTTTACACACTAAGTGTAGGAACTACCTCTGGTCCTCCTCCTGCAAGTGCTCGATAAAACTCTTCCTAGTTCGTCAATCGAGCGCACTCCTATTGGATTTGACCGTGTCTCGCTCACACTTCTCTCATGTTATAAGTGTATTACAAGTGATTCTCACAAATAAAAGTTAAAATACAATGATTTTTTCTCAAATAACATGTAGAAAACAATGAACTCACACTACTAAATCACAGCACCCCACAACCCACACTATATTGGTATGAAAATATTAGCTCAATAAGTGTGTGTGATAACAGTGAATCAAACTCAATAGAATTTAGCTAAAAGAAGTGAAAAATAATATAAGCTATAAAAGAGTTTAGAAGACTCTCAAACAAAGAGAACAGTAGAGATGATTCCAATAGGATTTGAATGCCTACTTCTTGTTGTAGAAAAAAACTCCTCTTGAAAACTGATTGATGAAATCACTATTAAACAGCTCTAAAACCAATCAATATTTTTAATACACCAAACTTGGATATCTTGGTTATTAAGAGAAGAGGCAATGGGATAAATATATAGACACCAAAACAACAGTAAAAAATAGGTAAAAACAAAAACCCAGTTTGAAAACGTTAGAAAAACTAGCCGTTAGAAAGGTTTCTGACAGCTCGTCGGCGACCGGTTCGGTCGACCCGCAAAGTCAAAACTCAGAAGAATGAGGGTTAAAGCTGGCGGTCGACCGAGCGGATTTTTCGGTCGACCGGAATTTTCTCGGTCGACCGGTGCGGTCGACGTAAGTATGAGCTCAGAAACAACTGTTATTCGACCGTACCGGTCGACCGAAAACTGATATGCTGCATTGACAGGTTTTAGGGGTGTTTTGAAAATACATTAAAAATATCAAATCAACACCAAAAATAGTGAAAACTTTGGGAAAGTTTCTAAATGATAAAATAAACATGTTTAAAGGAATTTTTTGGAAATCAATTTTCATTTGTGAAAACTCCCTGTTTTGAAAAGTTTAGCAGAAACCTGTTTTTCGTGGACTAATGAAATAATTGACTCTAGATCTTAGTAATACATGTTATATATCTATTGTGCATGTATTATATGTATATAATGAAGTACGAAAGAGCTGTAAACATGAGATAAAAGTTATTGTAACAACGTTTGATGAGAAATCATTTATATGATAGAAAACATCAAAAAATTGTGTTACGTGTACATATATTGAGCTTAGATATAATCATACAATATATGTAAGTAAACTAAACTTATACCTAGGTAAATCCACACATATGAACTTGAATCTTTAACGCTTGATTGACGTGTGTTGAAATACCTGAAAAAAGAACATAAACATAAAACACTAGAGAACTTATTAGTAATAAATTGTTTGCCAAAACATCATCAAAAACTATAGGGTCAACAATCTCCCCCTTTTTGATGATGGCAAACAATTTATACATGAATATAAAATATAAACTGATAACCCACATATAAGCCAAACATTAAACTGATAACCCACATATAATCCAAACATGAATAAATCATACATGAATGATCACATGAACCATATATAAAAAGAATCAACTTGTAAACCATATGTGGTATTTTCTCCCCCTTTGACAACATCAAAAAGGAAAAAAGAAAGATAGGAGCAATGCTCCCCCTGCATATAAGCATAGATAATAGAAGTAACGCTCCCCCTGCATATAAGCACAGATAATAAAAATGTATACCAAAAGCTCCCCCTGTCAAATTGACTGAATGACATCCATTGAACATATATAGGAGCTAAAACAACATAAAAAGTTTAAACTAGCATAAACAATATAAGTAACTCAATTTCTACAAACAAAACATGATTATTGTTTTAACCATGCATTGATCATAAAAAGGATAAACTAGCATAAACAATCACAAATCATCATTTAAGCATCATAGATGTGCATAAATATACAAAACATAAAAGGTCACATAAAACAGACATAAATGTAGTTTGTTCCTCAAAGCATCATAGAGTTATTATACTCAAATAAAACAGAGTTATCAAGTTTTACAACCCAGAAGAGAACATCAAAACAAATATGAACATCACATAAAGGAACTCAAATCAGTCATCACCATTACCATCACCATCGTCATCACCATCTCCATCACCATCATCATCACCATCATCATCACCATCTCCATCACCATCATCCTCGCCATCATCAGAAGAGCCTGAGCCATCAGCATGGTCCTCACCAGAATCAGACTCAAAACTAGAAGAGGGATCCGGAATCCCTAGAGACTGACGCTGATATGAAAGAATTGTCCTAACATCCCTTTGAATAGTTGAGACCTGCTTCTGAACGTTTGAGAACTGAGTCTCAAGACGGTCCAGACGGTCACAAATATCAGAGGAGGATTAGGTAGAGGCTCTCGAACGGGAACAAGAGGATGATGAAGGAGTGGAATAAGAAATGGACATCTGCATTCTAGAAAGAGAAACCTTATCAAAGAAATCCTTCTTGGATTCAATCTTGGGTTCATTGGTGAGGTCAACATTGAAGTGTTGAAAGATGAGGGTGAGAAAGGAGCCAAAAGGTAGAAATTTGGTATGCTTCGATGCCATATTATTGAGAAAGATAGTTGCCCAATCTACTTTTATCTTGGCAAATATGGCATATACGGCATTTATCTTGTCAGAGGCAAAGTGATCGAAACTACCGGTCTTAGGAATCAAGTTTTGAGCAATGATTCTAGCAATGAGTTTGGCAATTGGATTGAGTGAATTGTTGTTCATAGGATAAGAGAAGCCGGGTTTAAACATGAGTTGGTTGACAGCTGGATCACTAAGCTCAACAGACATGATATCAACGTCACCTGTTGGGATTTGAAGAATCCCCACAAGTTCGTTGGCAGAAAAGGTTATTGCAATATTTTTAACAGATGAGGTTATGGTCAAACTACCATCAGCAGAGGATGATGTGGACAGATTGGCATAAAACAGATAAACTAAAAAAGGATAGAAAGGAACTTTATGTCCCTCATCTAGCAATCTATCTAACCCAACATTATGAAGGATAGACTCAGTGTCATACATGAATAACTGAGGATATATGATATATCTAGTTGGAAGAATTTTCAGTTTACACAATTCTCTATATTTCCTAACAAGAGATTTAAACAATAAAAAATCCTCATAGTGAGAAGCTTTTGCAGAGGATGAACTAGACTCTGGTTTTGATCTCTTTTTAGGAGGCATAATCGATTAGGGTTTTGATAGATATGAGATATGATTTGAAAAACCCCTGTAAAAAGAAATTTTGAGAAAATTTAAAAACTTCTCTAAAATAGAAACCCTAGATTGAGAATGTGAACATAAGAATGCAGAAATCAAAAGTTAAAGGAAGAATTTACCCACAAATTATGATGGAAATCGACAGAGAGGAGCTGCGGTTGAACAGATCGGGCGACCGAAAACCCTAGCTCTGCGATTTTGAGATGGGAGGAAGAAGAGAAGTCGGATGTTTTGAGAGAGGGAACAATGGTTGGGATGAGTGGATAATGGATTCAACGGTGATTAAGAATTCGGGTCGAAAACAGATACCCAGTAACAAAAACCGAAACCCGATAAAAACACACAGCTGCTACAGTAATTTCCTGTCGGTCGACCGACGCGGTCGACCGAACCGATTACAGAGAGATCGTCAGTCGACCGGGTCGGTCGACCGCGAGAAAGTGAAAAAGACTGGTGATTTGGAAAATTTGTTTTGAGAGTTTTTATAATTTAGACCTTTTGGAAATATGTTTTATGATATACTAAAAGTTTTATAAGATATATGTTAAGTGTTTTTGATTATAAAAACAAACAAAAATTTATTTTAGTATAAGGAATACAATTTGTCATTAAAAGCTCAAAAGAAACTAATTATTCAAAATAAGAACAAAACAAAACAAAAAGGCAAAACAAAAAAATTGTAAAAATTATTTTGGTACCCAAATCATTTTGGTACCACTAGAACTTGGGACATGACCCATATCATTTAAATTTAAAGCCCTAGGGTTATGAACCCGTTTGGGCGTATTTTGTGCACCGATATGATCAAAGCAAAAATTATAAACGTGACCCATACGATTGCAATTTGTGCAATGTAAAGATTTGAATGGTTTACGTTGATCGAAATAGAATGCACGTGGTTCATTTGCGAAAATAGATTTTTCTTTGTAATTATTTTGCAAACGAGAGTTTCTTTTCAAATCGAAACAAAACATGGCCAAATGACCAAAGCAACCATAATAATCACATTTATACACATGAGCATGTTTATGATTTACACTATGTGTGTGTACATGTGTATGTGATGAAGAAGCTTGATGAGATGCACAATCATCAATAGGTTTGTCAATTTTTGGTGCATTATGACAAAATTGAGCTAAATGGCCTTTAAGACCGCAAATAGAACATTTATGAATTTTGTCATACATATGTGCATAGTGAATAGGTTTCTTAGAAGAATTAACATTGAACTTTGCACATAAGCCCATAAGCTTTTTTATTATTAGCAATACAAGTGTTTAGTGTTGAATCTAAGGTAGATATTCGTTTTCTCATTTGATTCAACTCATCATTGTGCATACAAGTATTGCTACTAGAAGTAGGATAAACAAGATTACTCATCATAGATTTCAACTTATCTACTTCTAACATAGCATCACGTTTTTCATGAAGCAAACTAGCATTTTCAATTTTCAAATTTTCATTGCATTCTTTAAGAATTATATTTTCATTTGCAATAAAATTAAACTTAGTAGCTAGTGTTTCATGAGTGGATTTCATATTAACATACTTACTCTTTACATCAATATAGCAATTGTGTAATTTTTCAAACTCAAGAGCAAGTTCATCAAAAGTAATAATATCATCGTTATCGCATACCTCACTAGGGTTATCACCTAGTGGTATTGTACACGGAGATGAGGCTTCCTTAGAACTCAAAGCGGGATTTTCCAACGCTTGTTGAATAGCCTCCAATTTCCCTTCATGTGCTTCAATAAGTTTCCATAAAGCGTAAGCACTATCAAAATTAGCAAATTTGTTAGAAAACGATGAGTGAAAAGCGCTAATCAAATATTCTAACAAAAGCTTATTCATGTTAAACAATCTTTTGTCATTTTCACACCATTTTGATTTTTCCAAAATGGGAACAACATAGGCATCCTCAATAATTTCCCATAAATCAAATTGATTAGATTGAACGAAAAGTTTGAATCTAATACGCCATTGAGCATAGGGAAAAATATCCAGACGAGGAGCAATATTAATAGCATATCCTAAGCAAGATGAATCATTCATATCCATAGAGATGAAATGCAAGAAGCACAATGTAATCAAAATTAGATTAGCACAAATACAATAACTTGGATCTTTAACTCAAGGCGGTTAGTCCTTAAATCAAAGAGCACCAAGCTCTGATACCAATTGTTAGACCCTAGAGGGGGGGTGATTAGGGTCTTATGCTAATCTAATCCCAATAAAATCCTAATTAAAATTATATAGATCAATATGTTCTTGCAAGAGATAGATATGAACAATAAGAACAATAAGAATATGCACAAATAAAATATGAGACAAGCAAAACACAAACACACGATATGTTTACGAGGTTCGGTCACCACGACCTACGTCCCCGCTCCTCACCTCGAGGAGATATCCACTATCACAATCCGGTTTGGAAGCCGGAACTTCTACACACTCGGTTTACAAGTTCACCGAAAACTCTCACACTACACAATCACTCAACAATCACACTTTACACACTAAGTGTAGGAATCTAGCCCGTGTCCTCCTCCTCAAGTGCTCGATTACAACCTCTCCCTAGGTTCGTCAATCGACGCCACTCCTATTGGATTTGACCCCGTCTCTCTCTCCTCACACTTCTCTCGGTGTACAAGTGTATTACAAGTGATTCTCACAAATAAAAGTTAAATACAATGATTTGTTCTCAATTAACAAGTGAGAACACAATGAAGCTCACACTCACTAAATCCCACACCACAACCCACAATATAATATGAGAATATAAAGCTCAATAAGTGTGTGTGATAATAGTGAATCAAACTCAATAAATAACTTAATGAATATAGCTAATCAATTGAAAGTGAGATAATAAGCTATATGGAAAGAGTTTAGAAAAACTTCTCAATGAACAAGAGGAGCTGAAGAATATGATCCCAATGGAATATGAGAGCCTCTTCTTGTTGTAGAAAACTTTCTCTTGAAAACAGATTAACGAAACACTTCTTAAACAGCTCTTAAACGTGATTAATATCTTGCTAAACAGTAAACTTGGATTTCTTGATTGATAGAGAAGAAGAGCAGCAATGGGGTATATATAGCACCCCATTACAACAGCTAAAAATAAGAAAAAGACCAAAAAGC